TCGTAAAGAAACGTCACGGTTTGCCGGTGTAGAGATTTTATAAATTTTTTCAAAATTTTAACTTATTCGACAAATGAAAACAGAATCGAAGTTAATCAGTTCATAAAATTGATGAATGTTTACATTGCTGTAACGTTATTTAAGTAAATAATGACCGTTAGTTCATGTTCAGAATTCGATTCTGCGACTTATTGGCGAACAACTTGACCAAGTGATATTCACAACTTAGTTTTGAAAGCAAGATAAGACTGTTATGAGAATGTTTTGTATAGAGCGATGCACCAACACTTTCTTCGACAAATTATTCAGCACCTAAACCCCGAGCCTAAAGCAGAGGGCTATTCATTTTCTAATTGCAAAAGTAAATGGAAGTAGAACAGATTTCTGTTTAAAATTTGGATTAAATTTTGTTTTTTTTTTTTTTTCAATATATAATAAATATCTGGATCTGCCTATTATTATTATAGAATACAACGCATACATAGTATATTGTATAGCGTAAGGAAATTATTAAGACTTACATTTACGAAAAAATATGAACACCTACGGTGACATTTCGTGCATGTGTGTGGGATGGTAATCTTATTTGTTTAAATCTTTTCGTAAATAAGAATAATTGCATCATTGATGTAAGGAAAAGACATCTGATGCTCATAGCGAAGTGTTACATCTACAAAAATAACTTCTGGCTGTGGTTTGTGGACTGAAAATGTGACTTTTGAATATGAAAATGGCATTGGCGTTATCGTTAATACGATTAGATGGAGAAGCGTGATAACAGACTTTTTATCGCTCGGCGTTTTTTGGTTTGCAATTATGTTGCATCATTGGCTTTATGGGGAAAAGTGATTGAATTTTTATGGGAAAACTCAGAGGCGCTCCTTCACATGAAATTATTTTTAAATAAAAAAATTGCATGAACCCGATATCATGAAAAATAAAAACATTTACTTGATGAGCCTGTAGCTTAATTAATGATCCTAAAGCTTAAAATTCCTTTGTGACTGATATTTAAATCCTGAACAATGATTTGACTGTTTATAAGAAGATCTACTTGGATTTTTTTGTTGTTTTTTAAGGTTTTTTACAGTGGAATATTGATTGATCGGATTAATACGCTTTTTTGACATTTTAATTTTCAGAACTTAAGCGATCGTTTTTATTATGATTTTTAACACTAGAATAAGAAAGCATTAGAATATGTAAATTGCACGGTAGAGTCTCCCTGGCTCTTACGTGGCAGAAAATGCTATATATAGTGATAAAAATCTCTTAAAAAATTTCTGGCTTTCAACTAATAGAAATTAGCTTTTAATAAAGAGAACTTGTTGAACGTATGTTCGTTTTATTGCATTACATACATTACAAATAAATTCTTTTCCAGATTGTGAAATGTAAATAAAAAAGAATGCTTTCAATTTCTGATTACGCTAAGATTGCTTTGTCTTAAAATGAAGAGAAAATTGTAAAACGAGTTGAGCTTTAACCTATTATTTGTTACGGGATAAATATGTGCAATTGTGTGTGCCTGAATGCCAGATATGGGAATATAACAGGCGAACATGAGCGGTTAAATCAAACTTTCAATTGAAAAGAGAAATACATCTGCCTGAAGTATGCGGAATCATTTACGATACACGATACGTAAGTAGGAAAAAATCTAAAGTGTTTTTTTTTACTTTTTTTTTTATTTTTGTGTATGAAGCATATATAGGTACATGTTTGTACGTATTTTGCCTAAAAGTGTGAAAAAAAAATATTGCATGAAATATTTTTTAATTAGAAATCTTTCATCATCTTCGTTGTCGTGCCTTCGTATCCTTAAAAAAGTCCCCTCTTTTTTTATTCTTTGCGCAATCAACGATCCTGGCCGCCCATACTGCTTTTTTTTTGCACATATTTTGTTTACATAGCAAAGTGGATAGTCTTTCAACTATGTCCATTGTAATGATGATATTAAAGGATAATGTCTGCACACTTTTTTCGCTTATCTTTTCATTAATTATTAAATTAATTCTTTTAATATTTTAATTTAATGGATAAACATAATGTCAACGCACAAGTGTACAAAATGCTTAGACATCCTAAAATATATAGATATTTGCTTCAACAATAAAGAATTTTGAGGCGATCTAATAGTCTTTCCCGACATCTGTTTGATCTGTTTAAATAGCAAATATATCCTGGATTTGGTAGCCACAGATCAATATAAATAATGCAATAGTTGTTTAGTTTTTTTTGTTTTTTTTTTTTTTTTTACTTAGGTTTTGCTCAAGGTCCTTTTACGGAAAATATTTAAAGCCGAAGCTAGTTTTTAAATTTAATATCAACAGAAAGCTTAGTGAGAGAAACATTTCCCTTTGACTCTGACGCATGCGTTCAATGGTTAGAATATTGGCAAATAAATTATCTGGTGATTGGACGGGACTAGAAAAGAGCGCGTGGAGTAAAACACATTCGATTCTGTAATGTGTCTCTATTACCATTAGTTGCAATGAGATTGTCTCGCTTAAAAGCGCACCTTATTTATAAGATTGATTTACTTCTACTAAGGTAGCGTTTTTGTGTATAAACTTAAGAAAATATGCGACACTATTTACTATGCTCTCCAAAATGAATAAAAAAATTCTTGGTTTTAATTAAAAACAATCAAGAAAATTATATCCATATTATCCATATCCACTACTTCCATCTTAAGAAAAAACAAAAACAAAATCGAAAACAAAATTGCGATAATCGATAATGTCGTATGACTGTAACCGACTTTTTTCTATTTATAAGTATAAGAAATGTGGGAAGTCATCTATAGAAGCAATAGCGTAAATCTTTGTTGTCGGGTTTTTTGTAGTTTATGAGTATTATTTATATTTTTTTTTTAACAGACGTATTACCAGTTTATCTTATCCTGTACGCGTGCCCTCTTAACGATATGTCCCAATTGCACATATTAAACTACGTGCAATATTATGTCAAATTTGAATCTGATATCTTCATTTATGCGACCAGGAGATCCAGGGAACCAGAAGGGAAGCTTTCTTCTGGTTCTTGCAAAAGTTTCGATTTTCATATTCTTTCTACTCCATAGAAACTAAAAGTTTATGAATGTTAGATGGCAATCAAAGAAAGAATGGAAGCTTGTACTTAATTTCTCATTCGTACAAATACGTTTAGCAGATCTGTCTATACTTTGGTATAACACCACACTTTAAAAGTAAGTGATGACATTGTAGCGGGGACATGGCACATCACTAAATACCCAAAACCATTTTGCTTAATGTAGTTATTCATATAATGACTTGTCAAAATAAGGCTTTATATCGAAGTTGAAAGCGTTTTCAGTAGTGTACGTTAGTGTACCAAATTTCTTAAAAATATTTCGAAAATTGCGATATATAGGTTTAACGCAAGTAGACTAGACAGATAGGCGGACAGATAAGCTTAGATCGGTGTTGATGTATGAGTACATCGTGGCAAAGTGTTTCACCGAAATAAAAGGGCAGTGTCCATCAATTAAGAGCTTTACCAAGTCCGTAAGGCTTTCTCAGCGTTCCTAACAAGTCGGCCTCGAGTTGCCTGCATATCATATGACAAATTACTGCGACTTGTCGTTCTTTAATCACATTGCCCGGCTCTGGAACAGTCTTCCAGCAGTCGTCTTTCCTACCGCGCCTGATGTTTCTACTTCTAAGGCAAAAAAAAATTTTAACCAATGTTTAAAATAAGGCATTATATGGAACATGTTCAAAAAGCGTTCGCCTTCAGGCCAAGAGACGGCAGTGTACAAAATTTCGTCAAAATGTTTCAAAAATTGTGGCATGTAAGTCGAACACAAGGCAGACAGATGGACAGACAGACAGGCAGAAAGACGGACAGATATGCTTAAATCGATTTAAAAAAAAAATTTCTGAATCGATCGGTATAATAAGAGATGGGTGTACCTCAGGCCATACTGATTGTTGCATACGCCCGTTTAAACTTAGCATATAATTGTATGACAAGTGATGTAGAATATAATCAGATTCCTCTCAATGTTTATTGAGAAGAAACGGCACTTACATATTTATATATTATTTCTTCCGATTTGTAGCACTTCGGATGACATCTCTGGTTTAGACCTTCTTCCACAAAAGGATCTTAAATCGAACGGTTTTCTTTCATGGAGATTTGACAGTACAAAATTGTGAAATTGTGAAATTGAAACCCTCATGAACTTTTTCCCTTTTAAACTGTACGCTTGTGAATATTGAAATTCACGACAAACTCTCCGTACGTATACCCATGCTGACCAAAATCAATACGAACCCAGAGACTTGTATGTAATGTATGATGAAAAAGTATTGAACCTCAATGCGTATCAAGGTGAGAATATCATTTTTTTAATCGTACTCTTGGAAGTTTTGTTTTTTTTTTGTGTTGTGATAGCTGCGAAGCATCGATCGCTTTAAAGCGTGAAAACATGGATAATACTCTTAAATATTGGTCATAATATTCTTAAGTGTTTGCCAATAGATGGAATAAAAATTTTTCATTTTTTAATTATTTTTCTTTTTATTTTTACAATGTATTGTACGCGTAAATTTAAATATCATCAGATATTTAAACGTTTAATGTTTGTGTATTGAAATATGAAAGAAAAAAAATGACAAGGAACTCTTATTACAAATGTAGCATATGTGACCGTTACAAGCAAAGATAATCCACACAATGATGCCAAGTATGCAGCGTTGTTGATAAATGTTAAAGCACAATGTTGTGCCGCAGGAGTAATTGACTAAATCTAACAATTAAATCGAAAACGATTACGCATCTATGCGTTCGTTGACTGAAGGAATCTGCTACGTACGCTTACATATATCGTCATTTTCATTGCAATAAAATTTTATCAAGCTCGATGTAAAGTTACTTAAACAACGCGTTACAGACGTCACACATTTATGAGTATATGCTATGAGCATGCAATATATATATATATATATATATATATATATATACGTACATACCTTCAATGCTGATGTACGGTCGTGGGGACACATTATCGAATGAGCGATTAATAACCGTCGGCAATGGCGATACTAATTCATACGCATGATGTTTCTGATGTTCCTGTTGCTGTTGCTGTTGAGCGGAGGCGATCATTTCGCGATTTGAACCATCGCACGTGTTTGCAGTCGCGTCAGTGGGGTTGGCAAATGAATCCTTCATTTCTGAGGGTATTTCTATACCGAAAAAGATTCCAAATAATGTCGGTAATTGTGATGCATGGCTGAATATGTGCGGGTGTTGTGTTCTAATTCTATGTCCTAGTGTGCATTATGTACATACGTGTCTATAGCTACATGTCTACACATGTATGTGTTGTTGAGTATATGCAGTTTTACCTTGCGTAGTTGTTGCTGATGTTAATGATAATTTACGTTCAAGTGCACGTTTATAATGTTGATATGTTATTGATGGCAATGTTGGCGATGTTAATGTTACTCTGATGTCGCAATTGCGTTTATTACCTCGTCTGGACGTGCCAACCGCATTGATATTCTGCAAATCATTATAAGCATCGCCATCAGCGCCAACTCTGTCAATATCTATATTCGTTTTGTTTTGATGGGACTTTTCTATATTAGATGAACAAGGGTGATGGGAATAAAGCTTTTTTGAATTATCAATGAGGGTCACGGCCGTTTGCGTTTCATGCTGTTTCCTATAATGCGCAGCTGGCGTTGACGGTGATGTTTCGATTGTGGTACGAACTAAAAGACCAACATTGTGACCTTCTACCTGCGGCACATACGTCAATTTAATATTGTCAGTCCTCTCAGCGTGGTCGTGCCAATTTTTTGCAATGGCACGTGCTGGTGACGGCGTACGCTCTTTTCGCGTACTCTCTATTACATTTAGACCAAATGGCGAAGCTGCTCTTGTAGGTATACGGGGTTCTATCAACGGTTGCGGATATTTACGTATTGGCGAACAGGGCTTCATATTGTCATCCTCTACGTCACCACCATAATAATTTTCATTATTTTGTGGTGGTGTTTTCTTTAACATCAAAACAGGTGCACCTACAATGTTTATACGAATTGGGAAAGTTACACTAGGTGAAAATCGTGATTGAGCTGGCGATGTTATGTATTTACCTAGCGTTTCTTCCTTTTTTTCAATATTTTCTAGATTTAAATTGGATGGTGTTCTTGGTCTTTCTGGTAAGTTGGCGTCCACCGGAGACGCCGATTCATTCGTAGCGTTTGCTGAATCAATTTTGTGACTTCTAACAGAGCTGATCGAAGTACCTGCATTATTTACAGTGCTTAAATCAAAAGGTGATGTTCCTCTACTTGATGTACGTGGCTGATATAGGGGAGCGGAAGATTTGCTTACGGATTCTCGTTTAATTTCGGTGGATGATCCATAATCATATTTAGGTGAGTCAGTGCGCATAGGCGAAATAGATGACGTACGTTTCATACTTGCCTTTAAGTTTTCATTAGCATTCATACCGTATGGTGGTGCTGCTCTCATTGGGACATGCGGTTCAATTAACGTAGCCGTGTATTTACGTAGAGGAGTTGGTGACTGCTGCTCTTTAGCTATCACCATATCTGAACACTCTTGCTTTGATTGTGTGCGCGGTTTTAATGGCATCGTTGATTGCATTTTAACGTGACTACTTGTCGTGGAAACTGTCGGCTCACTGGCAAATACTGTTTCAGGGTTTTTTTTATTTTTCTCTGGCATGAGTACGGTATACTTTGGGTTGGTTTTATGTGGGGAGGTCATTTGGGTTTCATTATCACTATGAGGAATGTGTGCTGTAATTGTAGCGGTATTGCTTGCTTGTTGCATTTTAATATCTTCCCATGAGATTTGGCGACGTGTAACATACGGGCTTCGTACCTCGTATGATACTTTATAAGTTTCAACTTGTTTATCGCTATCAGTATCAGCACCGGGTTGACTTGGATGAAATGTTAATTTGGATTTATTCTCTTGCTGTGTTTTTGATTTGCTTTCGTGATCTTTCAAGTAATTTATTGCATGTGATGAATGTTTGTCGTTATCATTTGGAAATTGCTCATCGCTCATAATATCATTGGCAGAATCGTTAATGATATGTCTTTCGTTAGCTTTCTTTTCTATGGGAAAGGTTTGAGCATTAGTCGAATCGGAAATTATGCATTTCTGTGTTATTGCCACATCCTTTTCATTGAAACCTGCTGATGATATGGTTACTGATTCAGGAGATATCGCTGACGTTGTTGAGTGTTCGTTCACGTTCACTTCGGATGCAGGCATATTTTCTAAGGCAGCTGCTTTATCAACTGTGTCGATTACCTGGTCGACAAGCTGTTGTTGATGACGTCGTGTAGCTATAAAGCCAGAAACTAAATTTTTCCTGTCTTCCTTGGGCGTTAACTGTAATACGCCATGTTCGCTTTGTTGATGCAGATGTTGTTGATGTTGCTCTAACTCACGAAGATGACTTTGCTGTTGATTTGTTGATGTTAAGCTGGCTATAGGCTGCGCCAGAGTGTCAGGAGTTATTATTTTGCCCGTAGCAGATAATTGCTCATAACTGGCAACAACATCACAGACATTTTCTGGCTTGCGTTTATAAAGATGAATAACATTTGAGGCAAGTGGAAATGGCGGCGGTGGCGGTGGTGGCACAGGCGTTGACGACCTCGCAACAGATATCACGTGTTGTGCTGAGGATGACGACTGATTTGAAAGGTGCTTGTTAAGAGTTTGCGTTTGTGTTTTTCTACAGTTATTACCTTGAGTTAAGTTTTCATCATCTAATCTCATTTGATTGCTCATTTCTTTGATTGCTTTATCCAATATTTCTTCGTTTGTTGTGGTTGCATGCTGAGCTGTGGCAGGCGGAGGTTCGACATTACAATGCATGTGCGATGATTTAGCAGATGTAAGGCAATGCTTCGCTTGCAACTGTTGCAAAATTGCTTTTATAGAAGTTATATCATCTGTTGTCTCATATGCACGTAAATGAGTAGCCAATTTCCCTAGATCCATTAAAACTTGGTCAACAACAGGCAAATTTTCAGTTGGCATATTTTTCATGTAGCTGCATTCTTCTTCATTGCGGGATGAAGTATGATGGGGCTGAACTTCAGTCATAATATAACTTAGTTTCCTTAAAACCTCCTTTAAAGGGCTTTCAATGTTCTGCTTTTCTCTTCCTATATCATCAACATTTGCTTTATGAGGCCATAAAGCAATATCTCTGGGTTGAAGTGCTTGGCTTGTGCTAGATTTCAAAGCAATTTTAGCATTTTCAATATATGAATCAATTTGTTTGAGATGCTCTGTTATAGATTGCTGAATGTGCTCATATTTGGCTGCCAGCGTTGCAATTTCATTTTTATTATCTTGCTTATGGTGATTTGTTTCCGCATCGGTTTTTTCTTGGATAACGTTTAAATCCATTTGGGAGCCTTCATCACCCTTAGCAACGCATAAGGGACGTACGGATATGTCAGCCAAAGAAGGAGCGCTAGAGGAACGAAAAGGACCGTAAAGGTAGTCACCATCTGTATAATAAACACCTGTGCTCTGTTGTTGAGTGGAAACGTCTTTTTGCATGTTGTGCTTTTTAGTTAACTGTTGCTGCTGTTGTTCGATTTCGGTTTGAAATGAATGTGTTGTACCGGTTACAGTCTCCTGGGGTATCATTGTTGTCGGTTTGCTTGCTAATGTGGAAGTCATCGTCGTTATCATATTTTGCTTATTGTCATTACAGTTGCTGTTGTTGTTGTTGTTCAACTGCGATTTACCTTTGCTTTTATTGTTGTTAGATGTCTGACGAGTAAGCTGTATACCGGTGGGTGTGCTTGGCAGACGTGTTACGTACGTTTTTGGTTCCTCTGCTTTGCTGTCACTCTGTAGCTTGTCATTTCGCTGTTTAGTTGCTTCGGGGGTGGCCTTCGCAGATTTTTGCTCTGCAAGTGACATTAAATTTTCATTTTCAACAGAATCCTTAATGTTCGCTTTGAGCTTGTTGGGCTCCCTCCAGTGCTGCATAATTTCTTCGGTGGGTGATGGTACAATTGTTATGGCTGCTGGTATATAAGCTAAGGTATTATCTTGCAAATCGATAGATCGCAAATATATACAAGAATCATCAAAAATTTGGGGTGATATTGTGTCCTTCGCATCTTCAGAGGATGTCAATGTGGATTCCGGAAATGTGGCTTTAACTGAATTATTTCCGCTACCTTGCCCAGCGTTCGTAGGTATTATGTGCTTAGTTTTCACTTCCGGTGTAGGTGGTAACGGCAGACCTTCCATCTCATCGTCAAGAAAGCCGGAATCTGGTTCATTTCTGGTCATCACTTGAATATTGTGTTCATCTGCGTCTAAGTCATAGCTAATTTTAATTTCAGTAGCCAGCTGTATAGCACGTCTTTGCAATTTTGACGAAAAATGATCCCCATCACTAACTGTTACGCGTGGTTTTTGCGGAGGTAAATGCAATTGTTTATTGATTTTTGCATTGCGTCCACGTTCTAAAGAATATGATTGACGTTTATGAGCCGAAGCGGGTACACGCTTTATTAGTTTTTCCTGTTTAGTGATTTCACCAGGGGCAATGCTAACATTTTCAAAGCTATGCCAGCGTTTCGAGGACGCCAACCCTTCAAAATATTGGCGCTTAGGTTCTACTAGGCCGATATCCAAATCGGCTGCTTTTGTTTCGGGAGCAGAAAATCCCTTCTGTATTGGTAAAGTAGTTGTGTGTTCCATTTCTTTTATCTCATTCTGCGATGTCAACTTTCCGTCATCTTTTTCCATTGATTGTAGTGATGACGTATTAGTCTTTTTTAAGTTGGTATTTCTGGTTGTGTGGGGATTAGATTTTCGGATATTAGTTGCAGTCATATTTTCTGATTTATTTCTATCACTTTTTCTTAGTGTTTGTTTTTGTGCACATACAGCCTGTGTCCGGTCATTGGGCTTCTGTTGTCGCTGTCTCAACAATCGTAATTCACCAATAGTTGGTTCAATTATTCTGGTGGGACTATTGAATTTCTCACGTATCGCATCGATACCATGCCGTCTACAGACGCTTTTGTCAAATTGTATCGCATTGTCATGTGATGAACTGCGTACATGCTGTTGTGCGTGTTGCTGTTCCACACCACTTGTTCTACTACCAACATGATGACTGCCTCCACTACCGCAACCGCCGCCATCACTTTCGTTACCATAATCACTATAGCTATCACCTGATGCTGTTGGTGGCCAACTGTGTTCACGTTTATGTAAATTCCTTCGTGTTGCGAGGCGATTTATCTTCAGCACAGTATCACGGTCAATCGTGACGTCGTTTTGTTGCTTCAAGTATTCAGTTTTGATTTGTTCTAATTGTTGTTGATGTAACTGCGTAAGAGGTCTTTGCTGTTGTTGTTGTTGTTGTTGTTGTTTTTGTTGTGGGTAACGATATTTGGAACGGCTCCGCCGTTGACATGTTTTTATATTTTCTAGTTATGTAAAAATGGTTGCAAAAGTATTTCATATTGAGTTGTTTCAATGTTGTTTTAAATGTTTCGTAAGGACAGTCACAAACAAATAGAGATGATTAACACGTTTCCAGATTATTCCATTTTTTCTAAATATATTTTTTTTGTTTTAATACGTTCATCTTCTATCGTTTTGGGGAAATTTTCAAGTAACTTTGAATTTTATTTTACCATCCGAACAATTATTGCATTCTAAATAATTTCTGTAAATATGTTAACAAAATCTTACAACAATTTTTTTAGACTGCATTAGACAGTTGTTATTATACCTAAATATTTTTAACATCAGCAATGCATCTCTATGATTGCAAATTTGAAAGCATTCGTGTCTGAACCTCGATGGATATGCTCATCAAAATTTCTGAGTGTTACGTTGTTAGCCTGAAATTTTCCTCAAAACGAAATATATCACATAAAATAAGACACGCACGCACATTTAAACGCACTGTAGTGGATGGGATGGGAGGGTGGAGGAAGAAGATCGGGGGCGAGGATATGTAAGGCAAAGAAGATGGACGAAAGGACAGCGCGGCGAGTTTTTACAGGAACTTCCACTTAGAGCCCAGCACGGGATTATGTATTTGGTAAAAAACCCCACTGGGCTGGGACAATTCAGATAATTTTGCTACGCAAGTACTTAAATACTAAAGGGGCAGTGAAATACGTTCAAGATAAGTGATTCCACTGACGACGATTTCTCTTCAAGCGTTCAGGATTATTGATGTATAGACAGAAAAGTTTTTAAATACTGTAGAATACATCAATTAACCGCAATTTCTGATTATTATAAGATTACAATTATCAACGTTTTGCTTATTTAGCTATTTGTCCTATAATGGTTAGCTAATTACCATAGGCCCAAAAATGGAGATAAGAAGCTAATACTTGTGTAAATAAAAGTTACTAAAAACGTTAGGAGGTATATATGCCTTAAAAATATCTTTTTGAAGCTTAAAAATTAGAAAAAGGGCAAATTACCTAACGGGGTAAGTTCCAGTGTTAAGCATTAGGAAAAATCTCATAAACTGAATTTATTTGAAAAGCAGTTAAGTAAATTTAGATTATTGCAGCCAAGTTTGAAATTAACTCCAAATACTTTTATAACAAGTCACATCACGATGATTCTCACAGTTATAAAGTGGCCTTGTGTCCTGAGTAGAAAGCTTTTTATGCTTTATATTCATTCATTTACCCGAACAAGCTGCATATATACTATACAAAAGCCATATATTTTTTGAGAGTGAACTATGTGCAAAATGAGAAAATCTTCGAAAATAAAGTAATTAAGAAAATTCATATGAAAAAACTAAATTTCTATACTTTTTCGTTTTGGATGGTAGCGACCTAAACGTGGGCCGATTAGGTTTAAAGGCTTATCCCTATAATAGGGAAAACAATTACATCAAAGTCTTTATATTCGACGGGGATTATTTTATGAAGAATTAAAAACTTACATGCAGTATGTCTCCGCTAATAATTATTAAAACGAATCAAAGTGAATCACAATAACAGAATCGATATAAGTTGTGACAGATGCTATAGAAACGGCAGATAAGTCAGAAAATTTTATTTTCGAAAACTTATTTTCATCGGAAGAGTAATTTTAACAAAAAAGTCGGCAGCAGCTTTGCCAATCTCTGCTATTGTTCATAGAAGATGTGCTTTGATTGACCTGAAGGCAAAGACAATAATCGAAACTATGGAAAATTATTAATTCGTAGAAAACAAGCTGTCTGAGAAGGGACAACTTTTTAAAAAAAATTCTAGGCTTTTCTAGGCATAATCAACATGACAACAGTCTTCGTTGGGGATAAAAAAAATTGATTTAGCCACAACGCAGGCTAATAAGTGCGAATTGGGATAATTACTAGGCTATACTATCGATAGCTGGACTTTCGTGGACAGCGTTTTTGTTCAAACCCCATGTTGCGAGTTAATGAGTTAATCGTCATACCAGCGGCTTTAGTTTACATTCGAATGCTTTAATATTTTACCTATACCTTCACAATAAGGCTTTGTAGTGAATAATCAATTCCAAGTTTAATTAAATTTTTTTGAACAGATTTTTTCAAAAAAAAAAAAAAAATATCCAAATTAACGGTATTTTCGTTACTTCATTTTTCGAAAAAATTCGACACGAATTTTCAGATAATGTTTCCATGTGTTGCCGTAAGCACAAAAACCTTAAAGTGATAGGACAAGAGGTGAGCTGAAAATTTTATTAAGCTACATTTGCGAAAAAAGGACACGAAAAGGACCTGAAAATCAGATATCATATCTAATATTAGGTGATTCGAAACCCAACCGTGAATTTAATTGCATTTGTTCGTAGCCAAGTTTACATTTAAGGCGCACTGTCTTCATATACATGTTTTTGGTAGCTGATGTCCTAACAGTATACACATATACATATGTGTATATTTTATGATTATAATTAAAAGAAAATCTAATTTTAAGAATTTGTAAATTATTTGCATATGCATGTTTATGCTTATGTTTATTTCCTGACGATTTCGAATTTAATAATGCAAATTCCTTATGTGCTACATGTCGTTTCGTTTTGATTAGCCTCAATATTCATTCTGGCAGCTGTCTTTTTTTTTTTTTGGCGTTTTTAATTCGCATTATTTTGGCATTTATTAGCGCGGAAAGCAAGGTTAAACTGCACGAACTAAAAGCTAATTACTTTTATATTGTTGCTGCTGCTGTTATTGTTATTGCGCGGTTATTAAAGTACATTTATTATTCATATATCTCATGATTTTCTGCCGTCTGCCACGTTGTATGAATTTTTTTTTTTTTTTTTTTTTTTAATGACACGCTAAACTCTTTTAAAGTTTTAATTATTTTTGTATGGAATCAATATATGTTTTTTTTTTTTTTTTTTTTTTTTTTTTTCGGTGAGTACGAGACATACATAAGCAAATGAATTATATTCAGTTTGAATATCATCGAGTAGCGTTTACAATATTTAATTTCACAGCAAATTGAATATTCATTGATTTATCGCTCGTATACTGATTGCATATACTTGCTGAGTGATGAGAATTGTAGGAAATTGTTTAAACTAAAAATCATATTTACATAGTCAGCCGTACAAGAAATTAAAAGGTGTATTGTAAAACTGTAGAAGCAGCCATCAATCGGTGAGCTTTTAAAGAAGGGAAACAAAAAAAAAAAAAACCCAAGGAGGAAGAACAGCGAGTAGAACCACAAATCAACTAACAAATAATTTCACTTGTACGCAGAGATTCAACTTTGGTTTCCATCGTTTATACAATATTAGCAAAAAAGTGCTTATGAGTTAGATATAAGTGTACGTGTATTGAACATAAACAAGTAACAAAATTGTATTCGGTTGCGATTGAATTTTTCATACCCACCATCGTTATCCTATAAAATGTATATATTTGCATACTGCATAATATTGGATGGGTGTGGCCGATTATTGATATTCTTGTGGAACAAAATTTTTGCAAATTTATATCACGTATCTGATGCAGTTCATGAGCAAGGATCAAAAGACACGTAAAGAAAATGGTATTGCTTATATAGATGTTTGGAGGCGAGTTCTTTGACCGGTTTTGGTCATTTTCAAATTCTCTTGCGATTTTATGCGAACGGTAAAATGTTTACAACTAATATTAAACAGTTGGACAGACGGACAGATGGACGAACCAACAGATGGACTTGCTTAGGCGCATTTTGAATTTGAAATTGGCCAGGAATTTATATATATGTTATGTGGTTTTTGAAGCTTCCTTCTGCGGCTTATAAGGGTATTAAATAAAATTAAACACTATAGTATCGGGTAGGCGTGGTTAATTTTTCTCCATTTTTGTACACGTACTACCGATAGACAATCTAAAATCGATTCCGATTTTTATGCTGATCAAGAATGTACACACTTTGTGGGGGTCTTCGAAGTTTCCTCTTTGAATCCGCTGACAAAATGAATATAACCCTCGTCCTTCGGTGGTGGATATGCAAAACTAATAAAAACGATATGAGCGTCTATCTACAAAGTATAGGTTTAAGATATACTTGCCTTTTTCTTTTTTTTTTTGAAATCAATATAAATTATAATGAGAAGAAGAACGTGTTATATAGAGAAATACTTAAACGATGATTAGATCGAACCATTGTAACGTTCAGTTAAAATTATTATTTTTATGTGATATAGAACAACGGTACAAATAGTAACGCAATCATTTGTTGTATGGTAATCATTTTTAAAATAAGCAGAAGCTTTTCAACTTTTTTATATGGAATACGCATAAGTAATGGAAAAAATTGAAACAAATTGTAGCCCAACAAGGAGAACTATTGATGAATCACTGATGATGAAGAAATGCTTGCAGCATACAAAAGATTTTCAAATAAAACTTTTTCATTCATTTGCATTTTCATAACTTACGAAACTGAACGGCATGAGCGAGGGTATGTAATTTTCGACTTAGAAACTTGCTGGGCAAATAAAAAAGTTTTCAATTTTTCTAATGTTTTCTTTAACTTTTTCTATGCTAAAATAGAAAGTTTTTGTTTAAATCCGATAAATAACTGCTATGCAGTGATGTACGCAGATGTCCAGCACAATTTATTTTTAGAAATGAACTTTCAATTGAAATATGTATGTTTTGTGCAAATAAAGGGTAATAACCGGAAAGGTTTACTATTATTAATAGGCAACTGTTTAGATATACATAAATTTTGACAGATTTCATTTTAATTCACTGAAATGGAAATGAATGTTTGTTGTCTATATATCATATGATTTTGATATAGAAATAAATCTTAATTTTTAATATGAAATTTTTTTTTATTCGAATATAATGTGTCCTTCAAATTTACCCTATTACATATATACCGAATTTTTATATAAAAAATTGGTTAACATTAAGCGATCTAACTGTACTGCGGAGCCATTTTAAAACATTTTTTAAAGGCTCGGTTAAGTAAAC